AATAATAATAAAATTAAAATGTTTCATTGCAAAAGACGCAACTATGCCGTCTATATCCTTTTTGGCGGATATAGACCACATATTTGCGTCTTTTGTGGTTAACTGCAAAGGACACTGGGATACAATCTCGCTACAGCCCGTCAAAAAGACAAATCTGTGCAAGTTGGTTCTCTAGGTTCCTTCATTAAAAAAAAGAGGAAGAGTTTTGATCGGAGTTGAAAAAAGATAGCCGTCACCATCAATTCCACTAGACAAACAAAAGCAGAACAAGACGCCAAGGTCACGAATGACAACAGCTTAGGGAATCTTTCAGGCAGATCTTACATTAAGCAACAAGGCAAATACGGAATGCATCGGCATTAAAAACAACGACCAAGTGCCAACCTACGAAGATCATTCTTTAGTCACAGTGGCCGAATAAAAGAAACAGACGCGTCCAAGTTAAACTCTGAGTTTATTTTCTCCTTTTACAAAATTCAACACATGAATATTGTGCTCGTGTTGGGTTTTAGATCCCTCCCTCCCATTTCCCATTTTTTTTAAACCTCTACTTAAAATTTGGTGCTCACGGAGCTTCCACACATTCCTCGTAGCCGGGAACAGCGGGTCAGTATCCCACAGACCGTTCCGGAGGGAAAGAAAAGAATGTACGGAGCTGCACACCAAACCCTGGACTTCCAAAGAATGCCTTTCCCGTCGGGTCTGCCTCTCCTGCCCTCTCGCCATAATTACCAAGATTCCAAAGGGGAGGATAAAGACTACGGCAGAGTTTTCAGGTGGGATACTATAGACCTGTGGGTTCACAGCCTGGTGAAACCCACTGGCTTACTTCACGGTCTGCTGAAGGGAAAGATCCTCATTCCCACTTCTGTTTCCATCCTTTGAGGACCACTGGAAATAGAAGACTTGAACTCAAGCTGCAAAGGGCCCTACGGTAACTTCACCCTCCAGTGTACTCTTCTGAAGCAATGGCACCAGCCGGTCTTAAAAAAAGAAGAAGTGGTGAGCAGCACAGCCCCAGGAGGGAATGATATCAAGAAGCCCCCAGGGTTTTTAAGTGTACACATGGACACTTTTAAAGGAAGATGATGCCCTTGGAAAAAGAGCCAGCATTGACATGTTTGAGAACATTGGAAATGCCCTTTTTTGCTGGTCCCGCCGCCCTTCAGTGCTCCCGGTTACCGGACCAGTTGCTTATCTTTTGGTTGTTAATGTCACTCCAATCCTAAGAGCGAGGGAGAAACCACCAGGAAACGAGAGTTGATCAGGATGCGGAGGGCAAGGGACACAGAATTAGCGAGTCGGCTGGAGAGGCACAGAGATTGCTAATGGAGGATGGATTTGGGTATATTCCATTAGCAAACCAAAACAGGACACCTGAGCCTGTCATAGAGAGGGGTTTGTGTGTGTGTGTGTGTGTAGTGTGTTTGTGTGTGTGACAGAACAGATTGCGACAGAGTTGCTAAGAGGCCACATCCAACAGATAAAAAAAAAAAAAAACAGACACAACACACATGCGCAACCCCCCCGAGCATTCCTTTTGCAGAAAAACGACTGCAAACAGGGTATTGGAGAACGGCCCACTGCATTGGCCCGGTCGTCACACACAATGGAGCAGCTTTCTGTGCTGCTTAAGAAAGGCTTAAATTAAGACTTTTCAGCCAAGACTTACGGGTGGCTGCGATACTCGAGCTGAATTAACCCTCAAGTGGCAAAGAAAGAAACACAGGAGCTGAGGAAAAGGGCTCCGGGTGTGTGTGTGTCTTTCCTTCTGAGGAGGGACCGGGCACTGGGGAGGAAATGGATGGTCTGATGGTCTGGGAAGTCAACCTGGAAGAGGGTCAAAGCGCAATCCATCAGCAGGTGCAAGGGGAAAAGATGGGCTTCCAGAAGTGACTTTACCACAATGGGAGTCGAAGGGGGAAGCTCAGCAGCAGGTTCTCCCTTAGCAGTCACAGGAAGCAGAGGAGGAGAGAAGAAGAGGTTCAATGGAAGAGATTCACCCTTTTCCTCCACACAATCCCAAGCAGATCTTAAGTGCCACATACAAAGTGGCTAGCAACTAAGGGCCTCTGATGGCCAAACGCGGCTGGCCCAAGAACACGCCGGGCTAGCATGAAGCGTGGGGTGCTTCTCCACCCTCGCCCTGGGGTTCTGCTTCTCCCCAACCAACATACGGACGGGGTACGGAGAAGAACCAAAGTGAAATATTTGTTCCCCCCTCCCTGCCCGACCCCACCCCTGCCCAAAGCCTCATGACGAGGCATATCTAAAACACTTCTGTTTTAAATAATTATTATTATTTTAAAAACCCCAGTTTTGCCCTTGGATAACCCACTAGCTGGGCGACTAAACCAGTGTCTCTGTTTTTATTCCTCATCCACTTATTCGAGGCTGAGTCTCTGAGCTGGGCCCCACTCCATACAGTTCTAGCGGGGCTTGCCCTGCTCGTGTCTACTCGAGAGTGAAAAGGGAGATGGGGGGGTGTCGTCATCTCTGGGCAGTCCTCCTCCTTACACCTTGGGAGGGGCCTGAAGTCCATTGCCAAGGCTGCCTCCCCATCGTCTCTAGATGAACTTGAAGCATTTCGTCTTGTCATGGGGCAGCCGGGTCTTGAAGAGGACGGAGTCCACGCGGAACTGGGTGTACAGCAAAGGCATGTAGCCGTAGACTTTGACAAAGAAGTTGATGCACTTGTGCCGCTCGTGGAAGTGGGAGTCGTCGTGAGAAAGAGCCTGAGGGCAGCCGGGGCAGCGGAAAGTCCAACGGGAGGTCACCTGGACACGAGAGAGAAGAACACGTGATCAGCAAGGAAGACCAAACACCGATCGCAGAATCCTACGATGGCCATCTAAGTTTCTCTTGAATGCCTCCAGAGTTGGAGCACTCGCCACCTCCTCTTGAGGTCACGGGTTACACTGTCGTACTGCTTTAACCGTTAGGACGTTTTTCCTGATAGTCAACCGAAATCTGGCTTCCTTTAGCTTGAGCCCGTTATTGCATGTCCTGCACTCTGGGATGATCGAGAACAGATCCTGCCTCTCCTCTGTATGACAGCCTTTCAAATATTTCAAAAATGCTATCGTATCACGCCCTCCGTCCTCTTTTCTCAAGGCCAAACATGCCCAATTCTTTCAGCCTTTCCTCCTCAGAGGGCCTGGTTTCCAGCCCTCTGATCAGCCCACCTAGCGAGCCCACTTCCACAAGCGAGAAACCACGTGTCATTCCACCCGTGGGGCGTTTCCACTCAGACACATTTATGGGGAATAAGCTTTCCTCCATGGTACCCCAACTCTATGAGGATGCAACCGTATCAAATGGGTTCTACAGTCCACAGAAGGACCAGGCCCAATGAATTGTCATCATCTGTTAAGGCGCCTTGGTGGCTTGTACTGCACCCAACAAACATGGTGGCATTTCCCAGAGAGTCCGATTTTTCAGCCTCTTTCGACTTGCCTCGAGGTCGTCCTTAAGAGAGTGCTCGGTGACACATGAAGAACAAAGCTGTGACCAAGAATACCTCTCTCTCTCACACAGACACAAAAAGAGTTCAAGGAGGCCAAGTGACCGACCTCCCTTTGCTTAGAATCTGCTCTCACCCACACCCACGGTGGGCAAAACCATTCTCTTAAAAACCCTGTGAAGTCAGTCTCTGTCTATAATGCTGGAGCAGACTTAGCAATGATCTACTTGGGTGTAAGAGAGTGATCTTGGCTCCTAGAGTTGACAAACTTCCTTACGGAAAAGGGAAAAGGAAAGAACATTAGGCTAACAACTTGCATTTAAAAAAAAAGAAGTGGTGAGGAAGAAGCCAAGGGGAACAACAACAACAAAAAAAGAATTACCCATTCCTTGTTGTTTGTTTTCTCTTTGGAAAACTCAAGAGTAACTTCCCTGGGGAAACGCTTTGCTCTTTCATTTCACGGTGCCCATACATTCACTTGCCACCACTGGCACCGAAGCAAATGCTCCGAACTTCTGCTCCTTCCAACGTGTAAATAAATCACTCCCCAGGTTTACCCGGAAGGCTTTTTTTAATTCAGGTACGGCCACTTTCTCAACTGAGTTTCTGTGGTGCGGCTGCTCCCACAGTGATTCTCCTTCCCTCCCTCTGTGTTTTCGGGCTGTTTCCCAGCTTAGGGAAGGGACTCTTTTTGGTCAAACGTCCCCCGCAATCTCCGGCTGCTGGGAGGATTCTGGGAACCACGGTCCAAAAATTGTTTCTGCAACTTCTGACTGAGAACGAGCAGCTTTGTATACTAATGTGAAAGGAAGACGGAGGGAGGAAGCGCTTAAATAAACAGGTAAATAACATGGGAGAATTCGGATCAAAGTGAGCAGCTGGGGGTCTGCGTTCTGCACAAGGTGGATCATCCTCCCCAGCTTCCCATTTATCAGCACCCCCTGTGCACACCCTTTGAAGCGGTGGGAAGGTGCTGAAAATAAGTAGGTCATTCTCCATTTGCTTCAGGGCAAGCTTTTGTTACACGGAAGCCGGATTTATCTTCTTGTCTTTAGCTGAGCTTTCAAAAGCCTAAATGCTTTCTTTTAACAAAAGAGGAGCGTGCTGAGGACGTTCAGCTTTGAGAAGTAAGTGACGTTTCCTTGCCGCAGCTGTGTAGGCCTCGGCTATTAGGGAGATCCCAGGACTGTGCGGCATCCGATAAAGGGAGCGGATACCACCAGACCAGCCTGCCAGTTTGTGTTAGACCTATCTCGCCTCCCCCACACACACACACCTCCTCCTGCTGAAAAACCCAGTTTAAAGAGTTGCTTTTTAAAACCACCTTTTCTGGAGGGGAAGCATATTCAGGCCACCATATTGACGGAAAGGGCTTGCCAACAAGGCTGTTCCGTGAGTCAAACACCATGCGACAGCACCAAGTTACGAATCCGTACGTCCGATTATTTCACCAAATGCAGTATTTTCTAGGTTGCAGTAGGGTTCTGGGTAGGTTTTCAAGGTGTGTGTGTGTGTGTGTGTGTGTGCGTGCGTGCGTGCGTGCGTGCGTGCGTGTTCACCTTGCTTTGCTCTTGCATCACCAGGATGAGAGGCCTGATCCAGATCAGACGGGATCAAAGCCCAGAGGAAGAGAACAAAGCATAATCATGAAAAACCAAAGTAATTCTTCGTCTTTTGCTGCCTGGTCAGCTTGGAGCACCCCAGAGGCATGCTGTTGCTGTTGTTTGAAGTCAGTTGTGCGGCTTAACGGATGAAACGTTTTAGTTTTAGAAGAGGCCGCCGGTTGGCCTGTGCGAGCATATCAGGCAAAAAGAAAAGAAAAATGAAAAAAGACAGGAACTTTGTGGCACCTTAAAGACCATCTGCTGGATTTTAATGTGAGCTTTCGTGGAGAACTCCACTGGCTCGGATAAAATGTTGCTGTCCAATTTAATGCACTTGTCCAGAGGCCAAGCTGGATGCCCTAGTCTGCAAACCCCGCACCCTTCAGGGATAGGCAACTATGACTCAAATCTCTCTTCTGGCTGAGAAGGGGCTGCGGTTTAGGAGATATGGAGGGTATTGGGCTGCAGAAGAAGGCTGTGTTCCCAGAGGTAAGATCCCTAGCTTTCTTCTCCCTGACCTTCCCAGTATTTTTTCCAGCCACGTACCTTGATAGGCGGCTTCCGGGTGATATGAGAGACCAAGAAGTTCATGGCAATATCCTCACAGTTGATATATTCGTCCACCATATCACGGATAGCCTGTGGCATCACGTATGAATACAGGTAGGCATAGTACTGCAAAAGCAAAGGAGATTTGGGCCCATGTCAAAGAACGGCCAAGAAGATAGTGCCACTGAAGGCACCAGGAAAAAAAAATATGATGAAATGCCTGAATTAAGAATGGCGTAAGCGGAATCCAGCTCAATCCCCACACCCAGGAGAAGGACAAATTGCCTAGCAAAACTCCAAAAGGTAAATCATAAGCCATAAGGGAGTGGTTGAATGCAACGTTCAACATGGCCTATGAAGCACATAAAATGCAACTCTGGCTTTAGTTGTAGATTCAAGACCCCCTCTCGTTCGTCAACAATCAATTGATACAGATTCTACATGGAACATAGTTTGGGACCGCGTGGAATATTTGCTCCATGTCAAGATGACAGCAACGAATATATTGTTTCACCTTCGCAAATACAACAAATATATTGCATTCGCCTTCGCGAATACAACGAACGTATTGCTGGCAGCAACCTCCACTTCGCCTGCAGCACACAAAACAAGGCCAAGTCTTCCGATCTGCATGCCAATCAGGGCCCCCCAAAAATACAGAAATTGTACTGAATGTGCCCCGTTTCTCAGAGTCACCACCTCCAACCTCCTGATAAGCCGAGATCAATCCATCAAGCAGCATTTTAGTTTCCCAACTACACTTGATTTGTAGAGAGACAATAAGCACCCACACAGTTGGCTTTCTCGCATGTATATAGATGCTTTTAGTGCTTTGGTGTTTTTAGTGTTTTTAATGCTTTTATATTGTTTTTATGTTCTTATGTATCTTACTTTTGCTGGTCAATGACCGCAATAAACATTTATTATTATTATTATTATTGTTGCATTCGCCTTCACGAATACAATGAATGTATTGCTGGCAGCAATCTCCACTTCGCCTGCAGCACACAAAACAAGGCCAAGTCTTCCGATCTGCATGCCAATCAGGGCCCCCCAAAAATACAGAAATTGTACTGAATGTGCCCCGTTTCTCAGAGTCACCACCTCCAACCTCCTGATAAGCCGAGATCAATCCATCAAGCATTTTAGTTTCCCAACGACACTTGATTTGTAGAGAGAGACAATAAGCACCCACACAGTTGGCTTTCTCGCAAGTTCCCTTATTTAATCTCTCTCTCTCTGTCTCTCGAGATAGGGGGGGTTCATTGCCCTACCACCTGCCCCTTACTTTGTGAAAGAAGGCCGCACCCGTCAGCACCATGGACAGTTCACAGGAATAATTGGAGTTGTAGAGCCAGGACTGGTGAGGAATGTCCCATGCATGGTACCGCCCAGGAAATCCAACAATGCGGTCTCTGGCTTCTCTCCAGACTCTGCAGATGCGAAAAATAAGAATTTCACTGGGCGGGGAAGAAATGCAAGAGAGCGCTGCCCGGTTGACACACACACACAAAAAACATCACAGGATGTTCCTCATCCTTAAGACGGTCACCAATTACTAGCAGGGCTAGTGGGTCATGCAGAGACCACAGACAAACTCTAAAAATTTACTATTCCCTATATCCAGAGGATCATTTCTTGTATTCCAATTCAAGTTTCTACCAGAGCTGAAAAAGAATGCCATGCAGCATTGGAAAAAAAAATAACTATCTTGCATGCAACTTAACGCTGGGTTTCAGTGGGAAAGGGGTTTCACAGCATAACCTAATCAAGCCTTGCCGCTAATCAATTTTTCACGGGCTAGGAGAAACCTTCCCCCTTTCCTGTTTGTTCGCTTCTGTTTGTTTTAATATATTCTCGAAGGCTTTCACACCCGGGATCTGATGGCTGTCGTGGGTTTTCCGGGCTGTTTGGCCGTGTTCTTAAGGTGTTTGTTTTGTTTGCTCTCTTTCTTCTTCCTTGACATTTGACCAGAGAAGACTTATAGGCCTCTGCTCTCGACTTCTGATCATGCAGCCAGCATGATGGGTTTCAATCTCCTAGCATGGTTGAGACGGCAATTTCTTTCTTTATCCTTTTTATTCATCTGATTGTAACTGAAGTTTCAAAACTGTAAGTAAAGTTGTTTTTTTCTACTTATGCTACTTGTAGAGTGACTTTTTATATATAAGCTGTTTTACCTTTTCTACTTATGCTACTTGTAGAGTGATTTTTTAATATATAAAGTGCTAGTCACTGTGAGAACAAAAGGCGCTAGGTGGAGACTTTAAGCTATTCTTCTTAATCTTTTCCCTGCACTGCAGCTGTTTGTTGTACAGTGGTGCCTCGCTTAACGATGTTAATTGGTTCAAAAAACACATCGCTATAGGAAAACATCGTTAAGTGAAACACCATTTCCCACAGGAATGCATTCAAAACCGATTAATCCGTTCCAATGGGAACGGATTACCGTCCTTAAGTGAAAATCCCCATAGGAAACATCGCTTTTACGCTCTGCTAACTAAAAGAAATTAACAAAACATTTTCATCCAATGCATAATTCTTTTCATTTACACCAATCATAGTACAAAAATTTCAATGGGCAGAATCTTGGGTGATTGTGGGAGCAGAACAATGATCACAGAACTTCACAGAAAAAAATGGTCACAGAGACACCCAGTGATCTTGTTGCACAAGAGGAAACGGCATTTCCGTCAACAGGTATAACCTGGGATCACCATCTCTACAAAGAGGGAGAAGGGAAAGCTCAGCATGAACAGGATGCCTGTCCATTGACTGTAAAGTGAACGTGTGCAAACTTAATTTGGCTTTGTTCTGAGTCTTCGTTAATTTTTGGTGATTTTTTGTTTTCCCCATTTAAAGCCATTGAAGGATGCCTGTCCATTGACTGTAAAGCACCAGATAAGTTAACAATCATAATAGCCTCCCTGGAGGCATGATCATGACTGACTGCAGGGGTGGGGAGGTTGGATTCTCTGGGGGGGGGAGTCACACGTATACATTTACCCCTCCATTGAATCTGTAGGGGGAGCCTGCTGAGTGAAGGCTCTTTCAGTAAAGTGCCTAGACTGAAAAGTGCCATCTTTGAGTATTTGCTGAAAAGAGGACTCCATCGGCTTCATTTCCAATTCTTAATCACTACTAGAGATAAGCACGATCTGAAAAAAATGACGAATCAGGAGCATTCATGGTTACCCGTGAACCACAAACCACCCACGAACCCCGGAAAAAATCAACCAGTTTGTGGTTCATTCTTTTTCGGGGTCCTGCCTGGGGGGGGGGAGGGAAACCAAATGCCTTCTGCTGCCCGTCTGCCCCATCCCACTGCCCCTTCGGTCCCCCCCTACCTGGTCCTGCTATCTGTTCCTCTTTATCCTTTGCAGCTGCCATCTTTAGACACAAACATCCAGCTTCCCTTCTGGCAGCTGGGCCTCTTGTCTCTAGGCATGTGCAGAGAGACATGGCCCAACTCCTGGAAGGGAAGCTGGGTTGCTATCTCTAAAGATGGCTGAGGACAAAGAGGAGGTGGCAGTGGCAGGACCAGGGAGGGGAGGGGAGGCACCAGGGGCAGCGAGAAAGGGCCGGGGCATCCGTTTTGCTATAAACGAAGTGCCGAGTGGAAAAAAGTTCAGTGCTTTGGTTTGTTTCAGCAAAACGGGATCCCCAAATGGAACTAAACACAAACCACTAATTTGTGGATTTGGGGGTGGGGTCGTATTTCAGTTCGTACCCATCTCTAACCACCACTCACCCCTCTGCTTTCTCTGGAAGAAAAACTATACAGTCCAATTGGGTGGGTAAAGAATACAATTGTCCTCTGGGATTAAACATCTGCTAATTCTTTCGTTATAGCAATGGCCTGCAAACGGAAAGAGGGGCGTGATGGCCCATCACCGGGCTTCCCCCCCCCCAATTGGTGGGTCTCACGAGCGCATGTGTACCTGGGCCACGGCAATGAGAGAAACATCCAACGGAGGCAACATCAGGAGACGGTTTGTCCCCCTAAAATGGAAACGTTATTCCTAATATCTTGTGCCTTCCACTTACTCCCCAATGGTTCCATGTGGTTTGGCCTCATTTTCCTCTCTACAGGAGAGTCACGTGGCCCCTCAATGTTGTGCCAGCAAAGCACAGTCTCCTGCTCCTGCTGCTATAAATAGGGTTGCATTACTAAAAATAAGAAGGCGTTGCAACCAAGTTTCTCCATGTGGTGGGAATTAACAGCAAACACATAGAGAAATGAGTCCATGCAGCTATTTTTTTCCACCCCGAAAAATATCCTCTTAACAGCTCGGGAACATAAGGCACACTGCTAAAGGGAAACGTCTTCCCTTCGGAGACAGATAACACAGGAGGGCCAGGCCTGGAAGATGGCTGAGAACACCCAACTCTTGCTCCACCCTTCTCATCCGGCCTCTGGCTTTTACAAAACCCAAAGCGGTTCACGAGTGAGAAGGAACTACGCAGAAAGCCTACATGATCATAATAGCCATGGAAGGAAGAAGAGACAAGACCCCCCCCCCAAAAAAATATCACTGGATCAAGTCCACCTGGGCTTGACTGGGAAGGGCAACCACAGAAGGCACAAGAAGGCAGGCAAGGGGGGAGGGAAGAGGAGACAAAGCTGGAGACCTCGAGGGACCTGTAGAGAGAAGCCACGAGGGGTCCCCACCCGTGGCCTCTTCAAGAGCTTACCGGAATCCAAACATAATCTCGTCGTGGCGAAGATGGGCGTCATCATCAATAGACAAGATGGCCTCTGTCTCTATCTCATCCCAGGGCAGAAACCGGTTGTTCAAACTGTTCTTCTCTGTGCGTACAACCTAGAAGATGGACACAATCCGTTGTTGGTTTGTTTGTTTGTTCCTCCCTCCCTCCCTCCATTCCTCCTTACATTTATATCCCACCCATCTAGTAACAAGCCACTAGTGGCCCTAACGTAGCAGGTCTCCTTATTCCAGAGTATTTTTTTAAAGTTATGGCACAACTATAAAGAGAGTGAGAGAGAGAGAGAGAGAGAGAGAGAGAGAGAGCATGCTGTGCAGATAAAAGGCATAACAAAAGTCTTCAGCACTGCCCTCCTGGGATGCAGGAGTCAATTTCGCATATGTTGTCTGTTGGTAAAAAGAAGCACTGTGGGGTGGAAAATGCTTCATTCCCCCGCCCCCATTCTCTTCTCTGGCCTGCACTTCTGCAAAGCTTCTTTTTCGCAACCGAAGAGGAGTTCTGTCTCCTCTGCTCCCCCCTTTGCCCTTTATATGGGGCCATTAATGCCAGCTCAAGACAATCAACCACGAAAGCTATTTCTCACCTATACGATGCCAGGCTACATGTTTTATTGTTCCTTTCTTTCTAAACAAAACCTCCCTGCACATTTTGCTGTATCATGTCAAAGGAAAGGTGAGTGGGGAGTGGAAGAATTGCTTTTATATATTTTTTCCCTATGGGGAATACTCACTGGAAATCAACCCTGAGTGTTCACTGAAAGGACAGATCCTGAAGCTGAGGCTCCAATACTCTGGCCATCTCATGAGAAGAGAAGACTCCCTGGAAAAGACCCTAATGTTGGGAAAGTGTGAAGGCAAGAGGAGAAGGGGACGACAGAGGACGAGATGGCTGGGCAGTGTCATTGAAGCGACCAACATGAATCTGACCCAACTCTGGGAGGCAGTGGAAGATGGGAGGGCCTGGCGTGCTCTGGTCCATGGGGGTCACGAAGAGTTGGACACGACTTAACGACTAAACAACAACAACAACAACTGTACAGTAGGACCACTGTATCCATGGTTTCACCTATCTATGCAAGTTTGCTGCAGCCATTGATAAAACATGCAAGGGTGTCCTCTTGTGGCCTTTATCCTGCCCCCTTGTAAGTTGTATATAGGGTTTGCTCATATCTGCAGTTTCGGGCATCCACAGCAATCGTGGAATTGATCCCCTACGGATATGGGAACTTTTCTGTATTCTATTCTCGCTGACAACCTGAACTGGTCCCATCACCAGAAACATTTTCCCACTCCATTCTGAAGTCTGTGTAATAAATAGACTATCAGGGATGAACAACTTCAAAGGAGGAAAAGCAAACGCTTTGAAAGCATGAGACAAAATTCTCTGGCATGCATAAAATTCATAAATAAATAAGTCCGCAGCGTGAGAGCAACTCTCTGTCCCCAACCGGGGAACCTGGTTCCTATCATTCAAATGTGAATCCACACAGTCCCCTCTCCCCCAAGCCGTGTGTTGTTGTTATAAAGCAGCAAATCAGCAAATGATCGCTGAGAAATGCAGCGTTACAGTAGTAAAATGCCATTAAATAAGATTACATTTGGATCATAAATTAAAAAGAAATCCCGCACGGAAACCATTAATGGTGGGAAATATATGTTGGGAGGAACAGGGTGACAGCTGGTATGATTAAATTCCTGCATTAAGCCAACATTAGTGCTTCCCCCTGCCAATAGCGAACAGGAGAGAGAGAGAGTGAACACAAGGAACATTGGACAAGCTGAGTAGCAGAAGGTTTCATGAAAGATCCGTCAAAGATGGAAGCGAAATTTACTGCAGAGGAAGGCGGCTGTGCTGGGTGCAGAGCTGGGCAATGGTGTGGGGTCCACAGGGCTCAGGGAAACACATGGCAAAAGGCATACAATCTTCTGGCTGCACACAGCAAAAGCCATTCAGTCAACATGGGCCATGCAACGGGATATCCTCTTCCCTTGGTTGCCACCAGGCTTCTCTGTACATGCACGCCCAAACTCTATGGTTTGCATGATCCTGCTTGATGCTCTTGCAACAAGCATTAATGTTGATGAGAGATGTATTTCAATGTAAGGTCCACAGATAATAACTGGGGTTGTTGTCAGAACACGGCTTCCGAGGTAAGTGAGATATTTAAGGAGTGGTTTTACCAGTTTGTCTCCCCTAGTGAGTCTCCATGGTTGAGCGGGGGGATTCGAACCCTGGCCTTGTTCTAGTCTGTCATTCCATCCGCTATACCACACTGAGTATCTTACAATAATTACCGCATTTTCCATGTAAAAGATGACATTTTCCCCTAAAATCGTTAAGAGTAAAAGATTGAGCATCGTCTTTTACACGGAAGTAAGCCGAGGAGAAAACCACGCGGTTGCAAAGCAGCCTACCGTAGGTCTCTGCAAACCGTCCACCTCCACTCGCGAGTGAAACTGCCGCTAGCTTGTCTCTGTTTGCAGAGAGAATCGCAAGCCTTGTGCAAATGATGCAAGCGGATGCCGAGGAGAGCATGTCGGCCAGCAATCGCGAGGGTGAACAGCTGACACGCACAGCCTTCTCTGTGGGCACACGAGGCATAAGTCGACCTCATCCCACTATGTTTATGATCAGACAGTGGAGAAAACAGGAAGAACAACTCCTTAAGATGCCAAAAAAAGACAGAAAAAAAGCCTTAAGAGGAAAATCAGCAAAATGGCCAAACTTGGAGCAGAGGCTCAAGACTTGGATTTTGGAGCAGCGCCAGAGTGGGATATGTATATCAACTAAGCTTATTCAATATCAGGCAAGAATGTCTGCAAGTGAAATGAAGACGGTTGATTTTACAGGAAAGGCAAACTAGTGCTTCAGTTTCATGAGGAGAGAAGGGTTGGCCATGAGAACACGAACAAAGTTAGCACAGAAAATGCCCCCTTTTTATGAGGATAAAAATCCAACAGTTGCACTCCTATTTCATACAACTTCGGGGAAAATATATACGTGTATATATATATATATGATTTTGAACCAAGTCAGATTGCAAACATGGATGAGGTGCCTCTCAAGTCTGATGCGCCTTCCAACAGCGGCAATCAAAACAAGTGCCCATGAAAAGACACACAATTACACTGCTGCGCTTTCATGCTCCGCAGATGGTACTACACTGCCTCCTATGCTTATTTTTAAGAAGAAAACTTATCCGAAGGAGACCATACCACGTGGCATTATTGTGCAAGTTCATGAGAAGGGATGGATGAATAAAGACATCATGGCCATTTGCTTTGCGAAGGTTTGGTCCAGAAGACCTGGCGGGCTCTTAAAGAAGCCAACTCTCCTTGTCTTTGATCAGTTCCGAGCACAATTAATAGAAAAGACAAAAAAAAAGGGTTGTATTGGGTTTGCAAACACATCTGGTAGGTCAACTATAGCAACTAGATGTTTCAATCAACAAGCCATTTATAGTCCTGATGAGAGAAGAATGGAATAGATGGGTTCAAAAAGCAGGTAGTAAATTGACACTGACAGGAAGAGTGAGAAAACCAACTATTACTGAGTTTAAAAATTGGGTTCTAAACTCATGGTATAGCGTCAAAAAAGAGGTGATTGTGAAGTCCTTCAAGAAATGTGTACCGTATTTTTCCATGTATGAGATGCCCCCACTTTTCTAATCCAAAATTAAGAAACCTAAGTGGGGCCTGGCAAATGTAGGGGGAAAGGGATCAACGTGCTACAGGATCACTTTGATCCCTGCTTTCTCCCTTTGTGCTAAGCCCCGTGGGGCTTAGCAAGAGGATGGGGGAAGGGATCAAAGCAATCCCATGACTACACAATCATTTTGATCCCTTTTCCCCAAATCCAAAATTAAGAAACCTAAGTGGGGCCTGGCAAATGTAGGGGGAAAGGGATCAACGTGCTACAGGATCACTTTGATCCCTGCTTTCTCCCTTTGTGCTAAGCCCCGTGGGGCTTAGCAAGAGGATGGGGGAAGGGATCAAAGCAATCCCATGACTACACAATCATTTTGATCCCTTTTCCCCACTGGATTGCTTTGATCCTTTCCCCCCCCCTTTTGCTAAGCCCCATGGGACTTAGCAAGCAGATGGGAAAGCAGGGATCAAAGCGATCCTGCAGCACTTTGATCCCTGCTTTCTTTTTGCTAAAGCTTAGCAAGTGGAGGGGAAGGAAGGGATCAAAGCCCTGCAGGATCATTTTGATCCCTCCTTTCTCCTACATTTGTTTTGTTTTCTCCTAAGCTTACTTCCATATATAAGACAACCCTCAATTTTTACTCTAAAGATTTTAGACAAAAATATAATCTTATACATGGAAAAATATGGTAATCAGCAATGCCATGGACAGAACTGAGGATGATCTCATATACATAGACAGTGACTAAGTAGACAGCAACGATGCAATAGAAGTTGAAGAAACTGATATGTTTGAAACTAATAATGATGAAGAAAGCACTGATGCAATACAGACTGAATGAAGTGATTTGCTCAGCTAAGGGTGATGCATAATATCACAGTACTGGCTTGTAAATGTTGCCTAATTACTAAATAAGTATAAGGTTCATTATGCAACGTATACAATCTTCCAATCTGGGGAAGAGCAAGAATAAGTATAAATAGTGCTGTCGCTAAAGAATCTAATTGGTGATATGCAGAATTTAAAGGAAAGTCCAGTTCTACAAGGCACATACAGTAGGAACATGGAATGTGAGAAATAAACAAACTTAAGCTTTAAATAATAAAATATGAAATAGAACATTTGCAATACTTGTAGTAGGTCAAGTGGCCCAGAACAGGAAATTTGCAGTTAAATAATTACCATATGTATCACTCTGGACATGGGAAATTTGGAAGAAATGATGTAGCTCGAAGAGTGAAGCCAGATGTAGCACAAGAAGTTAGGGACTATATAATGCAAAATCTGACCAAATAATATAAATGGGACTTAAGGGAAAGCCATCATTCAAGTATGTGCTCCAACAGCAGATGGTGAGGCAGAAGAGGATGAAAACTTTATGCCAGGGAAACTGATAACACACCAGAACAGGACAAGCTGGTCACTGTGGGTATGACTAGTATGCAAA